TGCTATTATAAAACGAGATCACCTCTAAGTTCACATTACTATAGTACTGCACATAAGGGTAGTTCTCATCACAATCAAATTAATATTGAACTGAGCTGGGCAGTTTTCAGATTTGCCCACTGCCTGGACATGCCCTATACTAGACCATACTTGCTAATGAAAATAAAACTGTAAGCTTATTCTGAACTTATTAGGAGCTAGGAGGGTTAAGAGATGATGTCTGGTCTTGGGCTTGGACTTTCTCTTTAGGAAGTGAGGACACTGAAAGGATATATTTCTTTCCAGTCTTATATTGAATAAATAGGTGATGAAAACCTAAAACACCTGAGTATAAGACTTACTGATACACTGTGATTAATCATTTTCAACATTGTAACACATTTTCCATTAACAAATTAAGATTATTAATTTACCCTTTTACTGTAATGTATTTTTAATTGCTTTCTTTTCATTTTCTCAATACCTATGGCCTATGGGTACCTTTAGAATCTATTCATCCTTCACTTTTTCCTTTCCTTCCTCCCTCATTCATTCAATAACTAATGATTTATTTTATTAGATACAAGGCTGTACTAGCATGATAGGCATAAAGGACTCAATAGTGAACAAAACAGACATAAAATTTTGAAATCTCTAGTCCAGTAGAGATGGCCAACATTACAAATGTAAAATTTAAATAATGAATTTTCAGTAGTGCTAAGTGCTAAGATGCTATGCAAACCTAGAGAGGGAGATGTCATCAAGACAGGGATATTAGACTCCTCGCAATCAGGAAGGTGAGGCAGGAGGACTGATGCAAGTTTGAAGCCAGCCTAGGCTACACAGTTCGTTCGAGGCCAGCCTCAACTGCATAGTGAGACCTTGTCCCAAAACAAAACACAAGACAGGGATATTAGAAAATGATTCCTGGAGGATGGGACCGCTTGACCTAACCTTGATATTTACAGGATAAATACTCCTTACCCAAGGAAAAGGGGAGGAAAAGTAATCCCTGCAAAAGAACAGCACAAGCTGGGCATAGTGCTGCACACCTGTAATCCTAGAACTCAGGAGGCTGAGGCAGGAGGACTGCCATGAGTCTGAGGCCAGCCTGGGCTATGCAGCGAGCCCAAGGCCAGCCTAAACTACATAGTGAGACCCTGTTTGAACCACATACACACACACACACACACACACACACAGCACAAAGGCCCTGTGGTAAAAAGGAACATGATGAGCATAAAGCACTTTTTTTAAAAAATCCATCAATGTGCCTGGAATGCGCACATGCACACACACACTTGTACACATACATACATGCGCGTGCACACACACACACAGAGGCTACATAATGTATAATGAAAGTGGAAAGGAAAGTGAGAGCTTGACCTTATAGAGCCCAATAGGCTCTGTGGTCACAAAAGAGTCAGACACAGGGATATGCTTCGATTTGCATTTTATAAAGATGATTCTTACTACAGTGTTACAATGTAGAGAGCCAGGCATGGTGGTCCACGCCTGTAATCCCAGCATTTAGGAGGCTTAGGCAGGAGGATCACTGCAAGTTCAAGGCCAGCCTGGACTATGTACTGAGGCTTTTCTCACAAAAAAGCAAAACAAAATAAAAAACTACAATGTGGAGAATGATTTGAAGGGGGACCAACATGGTATTGGTTGGGAACGTGCTATTCTACATAAGGGAAGTGAAGATCATAGGTAAATTTTAAAAAGACTGCAGCATACAGAAGTTGAATATCTTTGAGAAGTATCCAGATAATAAGTCTACACAATCAGTTAGGTATGGGGAGTGTACTAGTTATTTATTGTTATGCAAAAATTACCCCCATACTTAGCAGTTTACAAGAATTACTTCTCTTATGTTATCTGTGGATCAGGAATGCAGATGTGATTTAGTCACAGGGCTACAGTCAAAGTGTTGACCAGGGATGCACTCATATCAAAACTTGATTGGGGAAGGATTCAATGTCAAGGCCACTCTTGTGGCCAATGGCAGGCCTCATGTCATCATTGAGTGTGGGCTGCAGACATCAGTTCTTTGCCATGTGAGCCTATCCATGGGTTACTCACAACACAACAGCTCATTTCCCTTAGAGGCAAGGGAGGGAGAAGGAGACAGAAATGTACCTCAGGGAGTAAAAGAAGGCCAGCAAAAAGTCACCATCTCTCTGTAACCCAAGCTCTCAACACATCTCAGCATTTTCAGCACATTGCATTCACTGGAAGTGAGTCACTAGGTCCCACAAGGGGAAAAGATTACACCAAAGGACACACACACACACCAGACAGTGGGACCACCAGAGGCCATTTTAGAGGCTGCCCGCCATAGGGTATGAAGGAACAGGAGCACTGTGATACCAATTAGTGAGGCTGGGATGGAGGGAAAAGGCCCAGGTTTGAAGAAAAGTTTCTTTGGGACATGAGGAGTGTGAAAAAGGGAAAATGAGTCTGTCTCAGTTACTTTTCTCATTTCTGAGACAAAATATCTGACACTCGTAGTTAAAGGAGGAAAGGTTTATTTAGCTCACAGTTTGTAGGGGTTTCAGATCATAGTTGGATGGCTCTAAGGCAGAGGGGCACTGCAGAAGAGAAACAGCTCATTGCAGGCAGAAGGCAGCAAAGCCAGCAAGAAGCAAATGACCACAGCACTTTTCCTGTCCCTTATATTTTATCCAGGATACATCCCCTTGGGGCGGGTAGCACTCATACCCAGGGTGGGGCATCCTTAATCCTACCCAGAACTATCCCAAACTAATCAGTGGACTAATTCAGTAATCACACACCCTTGATCCCAGTATCACACACTCCACTCTAGATCCAGCCACCCCTGAGAAGCCCCACCTATGACCATATGAGGCTTTGGGGGGACATCTAGACACGAGCCATAACAGAGTCTTGCATTAAATCAACAAATATGTATTTGTAAAATACCACTGTGCTAGGCACTACCTGGAGGATAGAATAAAGCAAAGAACACTGAAAAGACCTTAACCTCATGTCATTCATTCACCTTTTAAGAGTTGAAGATGGATGCTATACATATTACATTAATTTGGATAATCATAAAGGGTAGAAAGAAAATAAAGTAGGGGAAAGTGTGGGGTTTACTTCTGTTATGACATCAACATATGCTTCTTAGGGATCCACATAGTTTGAAGCCTCAACATGTCCCCCAGACTCCTCCTATACTCTCTTACCTTTTGTCTCCCTATAGCAATTATCAAAAGATGTTTAGCATTATAGTATAAGTATACTTACATAGATCAAAAAATAGTCCCCCAAAAGATATGCACATCAACTCTCTAAACTTCTTAATTAGAAAAGGTGTTTTTAGAGGTATTAAAGACCTTAGAGAGATTACCTTGGATTATACAAGTGGCCCCTACATGTCATCACAAGTCTCCTTATACAAGATACACATGAAAGATGCACATGGAGGGGAGGCAATGTGACTGTGGATGCAGAAGACTGGAGACTCAAAGCCACAAAGCCAAGGGATGACAACCACCGTCAGAAGCTGGTTGAGGCAAAGAATGGATTTTACTCTACAGCCTCAAGAAAAAGGATAGCTCTGCAGACACCCTGATCTTGGACTTCTGGCCTCTAGAACTATGAAAGAATATTTTTCTGGGCTGGGGATTTAGCTCAGTGGTTCCACTGCCTGCCGCGCAAGCACAAGGTCCTGAGTTCAATCCCTGGTACCAAAAAAAAAAAAGAGTATTTTTCTGTTGTTTTAATCCACTCAGCTTGTGGTAATTTGTTACAAAAGCTACAGGAAACAAAGATATTCTGCCAATGTTTTTCCTTATCACTGCATTTATAGCATTTGTTACAAGTTGTAATTATTTGCTTGTTCATTCGTCTTCAGCATCTTAGCATAGTATCAGAAACATACATACTATGCTCCTAGGAACTATGAGTTAAATGAATAAATAAATGTTGCCCATAAATAACAAATCTCATAAGATATAGATCATGTCTATTGATCATAATTCCCAAAGCTACAGCACAGAGCTTTGCAAAAAACTGCCAGGTTACTAGGTTTGAACTCTGAAAATCATGAAGTCTATATTCTACACATTATAGTTATAGCTGTGTGGTGGCCCCACTATGCTAGACTTAAAAGAGTGCTCAAATGGGTTTGTCCCATATCTGCTCTTAGCCCTGATAAGGTGCAGGCCCAGAGAACATTCCTTTTGCATCCCATACCTGACCCGTGGTGCTTGACATAAGGTAGGGACGATAAATATTTGAGGCTTTAGGGTTGAAGTAGAGTAGTGTCAGGCTTCAGACCCAGGCATAACTGAAATTCAGCACTGCATCCTTGAAAAATTCTTAACTCTGAATTTCAATACCCCCAATAGAGAGGAAGCTAATCCATACCTCGCAGGTTAACGGTGAATCACTTGGACCACTGTAGGAAACCCATGGGTTACTTGTATCTAATCATTATTAATCTTGTGTCACCGGTCTAACAGCCATGGCTACAGCATCAGACAAAAGTTCTCAACCAGTATCTGCACTTTCGAGCCCAGTGACCGTCAGCAAGCTAATTAATCATCTTTCCTTGCCACAGTTCCTTACCTAACAGCCGGCAATAATGCCTCCCAATGTAAGAGCGGTTCTAATATCGAAACTAAATGTAGTAACCAAATTGTCCACTTAGGACGGTGCCTGTCTCAATATGTTACTATTTTGAGCAAAAAAAAAAAAAAAAAAATACTGGCTTTCCAAAGTGCACAGTGATCTTCGGCAAATATCCTCACTTCTTAGGGCCTTCTCAAACAATGAAAGGGTCCGGAAGACCTTATCACTGCCTTAAGAAGCCCCATTTGGGGAACCTGCGAACCAAAGGCCACCTGGGAGGTTCATTATTGCAGGACTCCATATCCTTCAGTCACCTATTAGTGATTAATATTTACAACCAGGAGAGATCAGGCCAACGTGACAGAGAAAAGCTTTGGAGCTGACAGAGAGCGCGGGTCACGAGTGGCAAACAATACCTTCGTGCTGAGTCCCTGGGTTGCCCAGGCAACGACCCGCCGCCTCAGGAGCCAGGCGGCAGGACTCCCCAGCAAGCCCTAGCGCGCAAGCGCGCCCCGCGAGCAGTGGAGCAAGGGCGGGGCGCGGCCGCTCAGGGGCGGGAGGGCGGTTGTCGGTGCCCGCGCCGCCCGGCGTCCGTCACGTAGGTTACGCAGTCGCTCCCCGTGGACGGCTGGAGCCCTCGGGCAGCTGTGTCCTCGCCAGCATGGCGGCGGGCCCGCGATGGTGCGGTGCGGCGGCTGCCGGTGTGGCTGACCCGGGCCGGGTCTGAGAAGAGCCCGAGCCAGTGGCGCTTCCCGGCCCTCGGGCCAGGGGCTCCCGCCCGCGACTGCAGCCGTCGGAGCCCGGCCGCGCGCGCTGGAGGCCCCGGAACCTTGTGCCCCCGGAACCTTGTGCCCCCAGCCCCGGGCCCCGGCGGGAATGTTCAAAAATGAGTACCAGGTAACCCGGGCCGCTCTCCGTGCTGCTGTGGCCGGCGCTCCTGGGGCGGGGTCCGAGTGGGGACCTGGGGAAGAAAGAATCGAGTCCAGTGATTTTCACACGGAGGAAAAGACGAGAGACAGCAGCCAGGCCTCTGGGCAGATAACTTTTGACTTTTGTTCACTCTCCGGGCCCGCGCCTTGATTCTGATTAAAACGCAGATTTTACATCCTGCAAAACAGCCTGGCTCAGAATCTCCAGGGCATGGCCTAGAGATTTTGGGGGCGCCCCCCCCCATTTTTATTAGTACGTGTTTGCAGTTTGTGATGATTACATTCATCGTGGGGAGTTGGTACATGTAGGTACAGGTACAGAACACATCTCACTTTTCTCAGTCCCTTCCCATGTACAAAAGCACCGACTCCCTGTGTTGTACTGCCTATCTTCGAATATGCGTTCTTGATGCACCCTGGTATCTCAGAACCAAATGAGTATTGTGCCCCCTTCTACAGCACTTATTCTAGAAGTATGAGTGAATTCGTGAATGGAGTAAGGCCCGACCATAAATAGGGCGCTGTGATTATGAGCTGTCCTTTCAGAACTCGGGTTCAGTGACTCGCAAACGCTGTACACTTAGGGTAGTTAATTTGCCTTTTTAACAGCTTCCCTCACAGGATTCTCTTACTGGTGGTCCAGGGGTCACACCTGGAGGAACCGTGTTTCTGGGTGTTCCTTGCATAGCTTCTTCACCTCAGTGGGCATTTCCCTTTCTGCTCTTCCTTGGCCCTGGCCTTCTGCCCTGCCCTCTTTACCTCTACTTCAGGTCACACTTCTATTTACAGTCCTGCCCTTAGGAACTTTCTCACTGGCCTTAAACAGCCTTCCCCTCGTCTTCACCTCTTTGTTGCTTCGCCCTTTTCACCAAACACTACTGGTCCTTAGAGTAGGTGGCAATTTGCTTTCTTGTAACACTTCATGTAGGTGAAGTATTTTGTTAAAAAGCATATGCCCACCACAGGAAACTTAAACTCAGAAAACATGGCAAAGTAAAACGAAGTGGGGAGGAAAAGGTTGCTATTTCACTAAATATAAAGGGTTTTCTCTTTTAAAAACCAAGCTGTCTCAAATTTAAAATTCATAGTGAAATATGACCTGTCCCTAAAATCGGTAGTAATTCTATGCCATATACAGTTTTGCACGTAATTCTGCCTAGGGAAGAGAAATTAAATGTCTTCATTATTATGTGTTAAAACTCAGAAGCTAAAATATCTTAGTGTTTAGAAAAAATTAAACGCTGGAAATTCTTTACAAAAATTACTTTCATTGTTGCTTATAATTCAAACCACATTTCATCTTTGTCTCAGATTCTCAGTTTTTGCAATACTTTCTCAGAGATCATCTTATTTAATTCCGCTTTTTATAATTAAAGTATATGAATATTTGGTGATATATTTAGAGTTTTTTTATATAAGCATGTTTCTTCATGTTCTCAGGTTTACAATGGAGAATAAGTACTCTGCTTATAGAAATACTTCATTCTTTTTCTTGTACAGATTATTGTTTCTCATGTATCTTCAAGTTGATTAGTATTAAATAAGATATTATGAAACGCTCAAAATAAGAATCTTCTCTAGGGCCGAGGATTTAGCTCAGTGGTGCTGCTGCCTGCCTCATGAGTGCAAGGTCCTGAGTTTGATCCCCAGTACCAAAAAGGAAAAAAAAATCTTCTTATATCCCTCCCAAGGCTTTTTATTAACCAGTACTAAACTAATTTTCCCTTTTTTAAAAATAATATTTGATGGCACTACTAGTTCTTGCTATGTGCTTTATGGTTTATGTTTACTATCCTTTGTAATATAATAACCCATTTTACAGCTGGAGAATGAAGAAGTTCAATACCTCCAAGGTCAAATAGTTAAGTCAGTGCTAGAGCCCCAGTCAGCATTACCAGAAAGTTTGTAATCACGGGTAATCATAAGAATTTGTTGGTTTAATTCAGTAATTGAGTTTCAACCTTTTAGTCTGGGTTCCATAAAATGTTTTAGAAGCTTGATCTATACATGTCAAGTAAATGAGCCTCACCAGTAATGTTTATATGGCATAATTTATCTAAAGTTTATCATGTTTTAAAAATAAGTTCCTTAGATCTGTTAATCCAGGGTCACCCAAATGAGAATGTTTCTGCTTTATATATAATCAGGGTACAAAGAAAGCATAGTGTTTCCTCCTAGATCTACTTAACCCACAGATGCCTGAAACACTGGGTTTAGACTTTGTGGTGTTTTCTCCTTAACATTGTATTTCACTTTAATTTAAATATCTTATTTTTATTTTCTAGGGTGGTGCATTTGTTGAAATCTTTAGTGCTCAGGGAAAAAATCCTGGAGCAAAATGGAAGATCCTTGGCAGTCCGTCTGTGATTTGGAAAGTAAGTGTCTGATATAACAGCCACATAAATCCTGGGAGGAAACATGAGTGAAGATTATAGAAAAAAGGGCTTGATCAGATTTCAGATCTGTTTTTCCCATTCTTTTACTCTGAAACCCTTTTGTGGCACTGTTGACTGTAGCCCTCCTGGATGCCACTCTTCCCTTGTTTAGGACTTTGAAATAGTTCATTCATTTCTCTGTATTCTAGGTCCTGCTCTGTCATTTTGGGTGACTTCAGTATCAGAGAGCAAAGTCTATCTAAGCCCCGAGCATCTCAGCTCTTGATTTCTTCATCTTTAATGACCTCTTCCACTCTGCTGCAGCATCCATGCCTGCTGCCCTACCCTAGACCTTATTGCCACAAACTGCAAGACATCTGAAATTACTGAGTGAAACACTGAGATGTCCCTCTCTGACCCCTGTCTTTGATTCTTAAGGCTCAGGTACTCCTACTATGTTTGTTCTTCAGTCTAATTGGGAGCCTTTGGCCATTGGCCCTTGTTTAGTTTTATTTATTTTCTCTGTCTTCACTTCTTTTTCCTCCAACCCAGAAACCAAATTCTCATTTCAGTCACTTTCCGGTAAAGACATTGGATGCTTTCACTCTTTGTCCTTTCATCATGTCTGATGAGCCAACCCTTTCTGAATCCCCAGTCTTTTCTTTGCCTGCATATGGGCTCCTGAGTTCTTTTGGAGAAAATAGCTATAGCCTTTTAGATTGGTAACAGTGTACATCCAGCCTGAACAGCCCAGAGAGTTATCCTATTTCTTTATTATCTTCAGCTTTGCACCTACCTAACTCCCTACTCTCATTCCCCAACCTATATCCAGGATAAGCCCTCCTCACTCACCAGGAGAGCTCATGACTACTCGAGGAAAAACAGCTGTTAGCTTGCTGCCACCAGGTCGAAACACCTGTATCTACCCCTACCCTTTCTTTCTCTTGCTGTCTCCTGTTTAACCAAGAATGCCTTTGTAGGGTCTTATTCCACGGGTTATTTTTAAAGCTCCTATTGAGTGCTTGCAAGCATAGCATTACACTCTTTAGGTATGCTCTGTGCTATTATGTAATCGAAATACCACCTCCTTGTGAGATAGGGGGCTGTATACTTATAGATAGGCCATAAAATTAAGACATGGAGAGGGTAAGCTTAAAATTACATAGCTGTTACTATGAATGAGAGATAGATGGTACTGCCAGAGTGTATAATACAGACATCAGGAAGGGCTTCCCCAAGGCAATGACATTTGAGTTTTAAGAGTTCACTTTTTTTTCTTTTTTCTTTTTCCAGTACTAGGGATTAAACCAAGGGCCTTCACACTGAGGTACCTCCCAACCCCCTCTCCCCTTTTTTAAAATGTTTTCATTTTGAGCAGGAGTCTCACTAAGTTGCTGAGTTGCCCGGGCCGGGCTCAAACTTGGAGCCCTTCTGCCCCACCCTCCCAGAGTGCTGAGATCACAGGTGTGTGGCACCATACCCAGCTTGTAAGAGTCACCTAGCCAGAGTGGAAGCAGTAGACAGAAGAACATTTTAGGCTAAGGGAAAAGCATATACAGAGTTCTTCCATCAGGAAAGAGCTGAGAACTTTCAAGAAACTGAAAGAAGGCTTTTGAGGCTAAGAAGAAGAGAATGAGGGAGAAGATGCCGTTTAAAACTGGGACAGAGACCAGAGTATGCAGTAGTTTATGATCATGTTGAAGGTTTTAGTAAGCTGTTAAAAAGTTTTAAATACATGCCCAGCTTGTGCATAGATAGAATACAAAATATACCTGGTGTGTTCATTTCAGATACATAGAGATGCTTTTGTAGTGAATACAATAGAAATTTGTTCCTTAATTTTTAGCAGCCATTAGTCACAGTGCATTTGTTAACATATACAGAAAGCCCAGTATAATGCTGAAGACTGGGAGAATTTGCGAAAATGTGACAAAGGTGCTTTATACTCAGAGACTGAGAATTTGCCCAAGATAATAACCACTCACATTACCACTTTGATGGAAATTGGCATCTTATGTATAGCAAATTTTTCGTTCCTAGGTTTTTCTTTCCTGCTTCTCTCACTTTAGCTTTTTAGGTATCCTTAACTGTAACATTTTAATTCATGTTGATTTAAGTAAATGCTATATAGAATGTCTTAGTTATAACAGGTGCAAAATAATTTGGTGAGCCATGGTCTGAAATCAAGGAAATTCCATACCAGGTACAACATAGGCCAGGTGGTTTCCTCAGCATGACAGGGAGTGATGTTCAGCCCTGTGCTGTTAGAAATTGCCAGGTTAAAGGGGAAGAGTGGCCACTAAATTCTGGAAACTCTATGTTAGTGACTTGGGAATCCCTGAAGTTGGAGAACTCCCTGTCATTTGGAAGAAAGATGTCCTGACACCATATAGGAGGGTTACCAAGTGGCTCAGTATGGCTTTTGTATTCCAATTTCCAGCAAGCCTCAAGGAAAGAGAATCTTCAAGGCCTGAACCTGCTTCTAAGTCATTTGAATATGGGGCATTTTGCCTCTGGATTTACAATTTCAATTTTATAGAAGCAGCTAAATAAAATATACTTCAATTACTTGTTTTCATTTCATTCTATAGGAGTTTGATAAAGAAGTTAAAAGTTTTGTGTTTGTTCTGGAAGGCAGCAGCCAAACAAACAAAATTCAGTTACCAAAGGAGAATAAGCAGATCCGTAAGTAAAATTTTTAATATTGAAACTTTAATAACGTTATGCATTTATGCCTCATAAATAGGTATACAGAATTAGTGTGAATTTTACTGGCATCTGTTAATATGATGTGGTTTTTTTCTAATGTAGAAACTAACTATATGTCAGGCACTATGAGAGGCCTTTTAAAAATATACTCTGAGTGCTTGCTTCGGCAGCACGTATACTAAAAAATATACTCTGGGCCCGGGGATTTAGCTCAGTGGTTTCACCGCCTGCTGCACAAGCACAAGGACCCAAGTTCGATCCCTGGTACCAAAATAAATAAATAAATAAAAAATAAAAAATATATTCTGCCTTTCTATCTACTAGAAATCTAGAAGTATTTTTAAGATTCAGAAGATTATTTAATAGTCGTTAAGTATGATGATAATAGTATTTATCAAGCACTTAACTCTGACCAGTAACTTTCTAAGCCTTTTGTATGTATTAACTCTTCTAATCTTCATAGTAGCTCTTTTTTTTTTTTTTTTTGGTACCGGGGATCAAACTCGGGTCCTTGCGCTTGCGCAGCAGGTGGTGAAACCACTGAGCTAAATCCCCGGCCCCATAGTAGCTCTTTTATGTATGAACAAATTGAGGTTGGTTCCTTATTAAGAAATCAGGTAAGCTGGACATAGTGTATTACACCTGTAAACCCAGCATTCTGCAGGCTGTGGCAGGAGACTGCAAGTTCAAACCCAGCCTGGACAACTTAGCAAGACTCCCTCTCAAAAAACAACAGCAAAAATAAAACAAACAAACAAAACCAAAGGGCTAGGGATTTGGCTCAATGCAAAGACCCTGAATTGATATCTACATGTATGATTATGTGATTTAACAAAAAGCTCAAAGAGTTGGTTTCAGGTCTCACTTTGGAAGCTGGCATTAGTATTTTAAAGCAGAAGAAACTCTGAAAGTTCACCTAAATTTGTGGTCAAAGGCCCAGTGTTGGCAGAGATGAAGTTGAAATTCAAGGCTGTGCCACCAGACTAGGCTTTGAATAAACTGAGATTGATTTAAGAAATATGATTTATCAAAATGATTTATCATATTTTCCATGAGCTGTGTCCTCTGTTTTATTTATTTATTTATTTTAATTAAATTCTTTTATTGGTACATTGTAGGTACACAACACAATTACATTTCTCTTTGGGAATTGTACCTTTACATGATGCATCTTGGTTCTTATTTTTTCCCCATTCCGACCCCTCCCTTCACCCCCTCCACTCTTCCCTATTTACAAAGACTTTATTTCCATTTTTTCCATTTCTCAGCATTTTTCCTTTCCCTTCTTTCCTTTCCCCTGCCCCTCCCACTACCCCTACCCCTTTGGACCTTTTCTTCCTATTTTACATTATCGATTATTCATTCTAATCATTGGTACATTGTAGGTATACAATATAATGACATTCATCATTGGAAATTCGCACCTTTACATAATCTCTCTTGGTTCTTATTTTTCACCCTTGCCCAGCCCTCCCTTCAACCCCTCCAATCCTATTTACAAAGATTTTGTTCCTATTTTTCCATTTTCTCATATTAATCCCATTCCCTTCTATCCTTTCCCCTAGCCCTCCCACTTCCTTCCCCTTTGCCCCTTTTCTTCCTATTTCACATTACCTATTATACATTTAGTCCTTATTTACACTTTCAGTTTCTCACACCAGAGAAACTATTTGGTATTTATACATGTGTGTCCTATTTATTTCACTTAAGAGTATCGCCTCAATGTGCATCCACTTAGCTATAAATGTCTCTAATTTCTCATTTTTTATGGCTGAGTAGTACTCCATTTTTTAAGAAACCCACATTTTCTTTATCCAGTCTCCAGCTGATGGGCATTTGGGCTGTTTCCAACTTTTAGCTATTACAAACTGTGCTGCTATGAACATGGGTGCACATACATCACTGTGGTATGATTCTTTTAATTCTTTGGGGAAGATCCCCAGCAGGGGAATAGCTGGGTCAAATGGGACTTCCAGTCCTAGTTCTTTGAGGTATCTCCATACTGATTTCCACAGTGCTTGCACCAGTCTACACTCCCACCAGCAGTGGAGCAGGGTTCCTCTTTCCCCACAGCCCCGCCAGCATTTGTTATTGGTTGATGTCATGATAGCAGCCATTCTTTCTGGAGTGAAGTGGAATCCCAGCGTTTTTTTCATCTGCATCTCTCGAATGTGTGTCCTCTGTTTTAAATGTAGATTTCAGATGATTTAGCAAATATAAGTAGACAGTTCTTTTTTACATTTATCATTTACTTGGTCCTTCTCTCATTCATTAACAGTGAATACCTGTTGTGCACCAGACACTATGAAAAGACCTGTTGTTGATACCTAATTTTCTTATTTTAATTCAGCTTTCTAAATGTACATAAACTCTGTGCTTTATGTACTATTTCTAGCTGCTACATCTGTGATTTAGATTTCTAAGACTATAAACCAAGTCAGAGAAGTTACAGAGAGAAGATGATTTGCTTTAAAATGGTGTGCCTTTTTTTTTTTTAAGGTTTATTTTGTTTTGTTTTGTTTTGTTTTCAGTATTGAGGACCAAATCCAGGCCCTTTGCATGAAGCTGCATCCCCAGCCCATACTTTTAAATTTTATTTTATTTTTTATTTTGAGACAGACTCTTACTAAGTTTGTAAGTTTCCAGGGCTGGATTGGCAATTGCAGTCCTCCTACCTCAGCCTCCCAGAGTGCTGGGATTACGGGCATGTGCCACCATGCTCAGCTGCCAGCATTTCTTTCTAAATTAACATGAGAAGTAAAGCTTAGAAGAGATTCCTCATCGTGTGTGTGTGTGTGTTTAATAGCAAGATTTATTTTTCATTTCCACATGAATTCATACTTATAAATAAGGTAAACTAAGAAAATAAGCTAGGGGGAAAGGTCTGAAACTGTACTTTATTGTTATAAGAAACACATCCATTTCTGGATGTTGACTTGGTGAGACAGGTAACTATTTTACATCAGTGTTAGTTCTTTTGTTTCTTATTGTTGTATCTATAAAGCCTACCTGTACTTCCATTTAATGCCCTGGCGTCTGTGCACATGGTCATGTTATTGAAAAGATCATTCACTTCTCATTTGGCTCTGAGAAACATTTCTCCTCTACCAAAGGCTAAGTGGTTAAATACAAGCTCCCCTTTCCTGCACTTATCTGTCTTTTTTCCCTAGAAACCAAATTTAATGTATTATAATTACCTTTTTTAATGGAAAGATGATGGTTTTTAATTGCAAGAAGCAGAAGAATCTTTTCATGTATTTCTTGTACTATGCCCTGTAATTAAACATTAATCTTGCTTTTCTGTAGCACATACAGCACTATAACAAATGAAACAGTTTATGTTCTTTACCCTGTACTAATGCCTTTAATATTAGTTATTTGGAATTTTTGATAACAGAAATGTATAGCTATTTTTTTACTTGTATTAAAATGACCTCCCTTGTGAGGTTGGTATAGTTAAGTTTAAATTAAATGTCATATTTTCAATTACCATTTCTAAATTAAGTTCATTTACCATTATGTATTCCTATTTTAAGAGTAAGTAAACATTTTACTTATCCAAGCTTGGCATTAGGTATTTCATGTTGATTCTGACTATATTGGGTACTTAGGAAGAAAGTTTAATAATGAAATCATGGATGTTTAACTGTTCATAAGCAGTATTTCTGAATTAACTTATATTTGAGGATTTCTAAATACATCAAAGTTTTTTTCCCACTCAGCATCCATCAGATAAAAGAATGTGATATGAATATCAGATTGTGCACATCTCTGGGGCAGAGACTTTGAGTCATCTTTGTGCCTCCAATTTAGTGTCTGACGCACAGTTGATGTTCAGTAAGTTAAATTTGCCACATAAGACACTGACAATTGGGATTATAATCTATAGTTGTCAGCCTCTGGCCTTCAAGAGGCTTGAGTGAACCATTCCTCAGGTATGCGCTGTAGCATGGACTTTGCTACAGATTTGCCCATGAGAAGCAGCTGTCATACATGAGCATCTGTCCTCTGGGAAGTCTTCGGGACTTTCTGTTTGAAGCCATTGGTTTTTCTGCCCCAGCATCTGAATCAAATGGTGTGTCTCTGGCCATCAGCATCTCTCGAGCTTTATGTTGACCCAAGTTTCAGCTGCTCTGGGGGTGAGGTTACCTTCAGGAGGTTCCCTGAGGCCTCCTCATACCCTGACTTTGATATTCTTTTTAAAATCATGACTTCCTCCGTTTAAAATCCTTCAGGACTCTGATCTCTTCATTCACCTGATAGTGCTCTTGTCAAAGTCACGAGTAACTGCTGTATTCTTGGATCCAATGGCGAGTTCTCAGCTCTCATCTTACTTCATGTATCAGCAGCATTTGAGAGAGCTGACGACTCCTTGAAATACATCTTCCAGGATGGCCACCCTCCTTTCTTCCTTCTTCACAGGTCTTTCTTAGTCTCCTTTCATGGTTCTTTTTCTTGTCTCCAACCCAACCTAATGTTATTCCAATGCCCGTGGACTCAGTCTTCCACTCTCTATCTACATTTACTCCCTTGGTTATTGGCTTTGGGCTCATTGATTTCAATACCACCTTTATTTTACTGCAGTTTACATTCCCAGCTGAAACTTCTAAACTCCAGACTTGTACATCAACCACTTATGTGACATTTCTACATGCACAGCTTACACGTAGTATATCCAGAGCCTAATTCCTGGTCTCTATTTCTAGAAATTTCTCCTCCTCCAGCAGACTGCCTCATTTCAGTTGTTAGCCACTTGTCTTTTCAATTGCTCATACTCAGAAGTCTTAATTAAATCAGTTTCTAGTTTTCTTTACTTTCATTCAATCCATGAAGATCCTGTTGGCACTATTTTTAAAGAAGATCAAGAATTGGACCACTTCTTGCCACCTGCAGTGCTATTCCATGGTCCAAGCACCTTTGTTATGCTTGCATTACTGCACTTGTCTTCCAGTTGTGTCCCTCTTTGTGACTTAGCCTCCCTGTAGTCTGCTGTTCAATTAGCATCTAGATTAATACTTCACAATTGTTAAGTAACATTTAAATCGTGTTACTGCGTTGCTGAAAATGCCCCATCTCTCTCAGAGTGAAAACCAAGTGTCTGAAGGATAGTTAAGAACCTGGCAAGCTCTTAGCTGTTTGACAGTGTCTCCTCTTACTCCTTCGCTTGCTGACCCTGTTCCAGCCATACAGGACTCTGCTGTTTGGAGCCATGGCCCAGTGCCCTGTCACTGCCCAAGCAGAGGCTGAATCCTCCAACCAGAGTAGCGCTTTCTTTCCCCAGAGGGCTGCATGGCTCACTCCCCTCTGCTGTCTCCAAGCATTTAGTAGGATGCCACCTTCTCAGTGAGGCCCACCTGACCCTCACTTAAGTTACAGCCCGAGCTTCACCTCCCTTCTCTGCTCCTGATTCTTTCTGCCCTGCTTCACCTCCAGCATCCTCTACTTAGCTCACCAGTTAACGTGCTGTGTCATTGTTATGCTCGAGCATTGTTTTTTCACCCATCACCAAAGCAAGCCGCTACTGCTAGAGACAGTTTAGTCTGTTTTTTCACCTAGAACAGTGCCACCATCCTAGTGGACATTCAAGTAAATCTTCATTGAACAATGACTGAATGGCTTCCCACTGATTTTTAGGGTGACCCGCACCTTCCACATGGCCCTCAGAGCCCCACGTGCTTGTCTTCTGACTCATCTCCTCCTGCTCTTCCTCTTCTGTGTCCTACCAGCTCCTTAAGCCTTGGCAAGTTCATGCTGCCTACTACCTCCTTTTCCAGCACGGGGTGGGGCATTCTCTCCGTCTCCAGTATTTGTTCCTCTCTCCTGCTTCTAAACCCATTGCCTGTCAATTCCTTCTTATTCTACCCAGCAGAATTCCAGTGTTATTTGAGAAAACTTTTACTCCTCCTGCTCCTCTCCCAAGGACTCAGCATTATATGCCTTTATACCCTTGACCTTCTGATCCATGGGTCAAGAATATAAGTTCCAAGAGGACAGAACTTATTTACTGAAAAACACTGCAAAAACTTCACCAGTGAATCTCATACATAGTAGGTGTTCAGTAAATCTTTGTTGGATGATAGGGCTGATTTAATAAGTACCAGTGATTTCTGTGAGGTATAATCAAAATTGTTAGCCCACTTTTTTAGATGAAAACTAAAAGGCCCCAGACAGGTTTACTCATTTGACCACAAGATACAGAATAGCCCATAATTACAGACGTAATTATTTTGTGTTGAGATGGAAGAGGCACACTTCATTGTGCTCTTTGTGCCAGAGCCGTGGTAGTAATCATGGAATGAATTCACTTGTGATTTTTCAGGGCATTTGTAAGGGATGGCTGTAATGTGGTCTCATCCCAGCTATCTGGACAATATAACTCTTGGAACATGTAGCAGAGGTGTCCAGTCTGTCATTTGCTTTAATGAAACCAGTGCTTAAAACTCTGGTGGTATTTTACTAGGTAAGTACATTTTAAAATATTCCCAAGAACAAAGAGCTTAACCCCTTAAAAATAGGCAGTTTGTCTCAAGCAGATAACAGATTATAAAACTACCAAAACCTGCATGTTTCAGGAAAAAGAAAAATTTTTTACATATTTCGTATACTTGATGAACATTTTTTGATTAGCAGAAGTTCACATTCAGCATTTCTTAGAATGATTTTTAAATATAATGTAGACATGAAGAGTCAGTTTAAATTTAGTAAGCTACTGGAGAAACTATTTCTGTGGAGTTTATTTAGCATTACTGACACATAGGATCTGTCAAATGTTACTAAAGTACTTTTTTCTTTATCAGATCATCACAATATCGTTTCATCATGCTTCTTTTAATCTCAGAGGCAAAACCTTTTGGAACCTAGGGCTTCTTTCTGTACGTGAGAAAGCCGAATTACAAAGCTCTCCTTTTTTGAGGGAAGAAATCTTTCATTTCTAAAATGAAATTTAGGCTCATACAAAAATGCCCTGTATGTGTAGCTCTTTGTGTTTGAAGGGAACATGACTGATTCATTGAGATTGGTGGCATAAATTAGGGACCTTTTTTAAAGATTGATTTCATTTATCCTGGTAATCTCACAGCTGTCTTCACAGGAAAACACTGCAGGACCAGTGTGTGACAGGGAAGCACTGCAGGACCAATCAGTACAAGGTGCAAGAGAGATTTATTAGCAATGCCTTATTTAAGTTGGTCTCATTTTGGTGTCTCACTTGCTTCTGTAGACCTTGCTTCACTGGCTGTCCCCATAAATATCACAAAATCAGATTTCTAGAGAATTTTCTAGGGCCAGAGCCTGTTACATCCATATTTATATTACATTCCCTGCTCTCCTGTTGGCTCTCTGGATCAGTTTTATAAGCTTAGTACTTTTAGATAAAAGTTATCTCTATATGCTTGATTAAAATATTATTAAACATATCTGATCAATATGTTTATTACTTAGAAACTAAGTTTGAGATAAACCATAGGGACTCTTTAGGTTGTTCAGGAATGTTACCAGTTTGCTGTAGGAATTATAAACCAGGTCTTTATATACACCACCAAAATGTACTGTTACTTAAAAATACTCAAAATTGTTAAGTAGTCTTAAGTTAGAATAGATAGAAAATGGCATTATTTTAGACCAGTTGCTTTCCTTGAAGTCTTTTATTCACCTGATGGCCTGTACTATTGGCTTGTATAGAAGTTCACAGACAGAATGAAGATGTCTGTATTTACTAAGCATCAAAATAAAAAGGTCTGAATTGCTTGTTTTAGGAGATGTGATGCTAAACATCTGTTGAGAGCATCATAATTGAGAGATCAAACAAAGTTCAAAACCTAAGAGAAAAAGCATTAAGTGAATGGATCTGGATAGCTAATATAAAATCAATTGATTTTAAAAAACCAGTTGTAGGGCCGGGGATTTAGCTCAGTGGTTTCACCCCCTGCTGCACAGGCGCAAGGACCGGAGCTCGATCCCCGGTACCAAAAAAAAAAAAAAAAAACCAATTGTAGACTTCAGCTATCAGAAGTACTGTAGGAGCCGGGCATGGTGGTGCACACCTGTAATCCCAACACTCTGGGAGGCTGAGGCAGGAGTATCACAAGTTAGATCCCAGCCTAGACAATTTAGGAAGACAAAAAGATCTTTTTCTCTCAAAACAAGAAGTTAAAAAGAGTCTATGATATAGCTCAGTGTGAAAGCCTTGGGTTCAATTCCCAGTATCATTAAAAAAAAAAAATAGGGATTTGTTTTTCTCCAAATATTTTTTTATCTAGATGACAGTAGTAATAAGGGATAAAAGCTGTCAGTTCTTTCTTGGAATTAAAATATATTAAATTAACAAAAGTATTATAAATGAAAATACATTCTTCCATCTCATTGTGGACACATTTAAAACTGTATGAAACACACAATGACTTAGCAAACCTTCAGTTGTCATTGTCATAATTAGAATTGTTTTTCTTGAGCTATTGTTTTTTATTAAGTTGTTTAGTACAGTTAAAACTGTCAGTGAATAAAAATAATTGCCACATGCTTTTATGGCCACCTTGATGGGAATCTATAGTTCAATTTTATATGTCTCTGTTGAGTGCAGGTTATGTGTATACTCTCTTGCAGCCTAATAAAAAATAGTAAATGAAACATTATTATTTTTTAACTTTCATAAAAATTTCACCAAGGCCACAGATGGCACTTTAAAAGGCAACATTTCTTGTTAGGGTTTGATTTGATTTTCATCAATTTTTTTCACTTTCATAATGAGGTTATAACTCATATAATGATATTGCAGGTCTGTATATTTCTGAAATGCTGGAAGCTTCAGCTTGTTGATGATATGTGATTGTGTTTGTTTATGTGTACGTATAAATAGTTTGAACATCTGAATTTGTATTTTCCCTTTCTTGTTCTAGTTGGGCTGATCCAGAGGTTTCTTGTACTTCAGATTTACATACCCCTGGGACAAGACTTCTCTACTGAATTGCTGTAAGATATACAGAACTTCTTTGAATGTTTTATGTGTATTAGACATTTGATCTATTGAAGCAGTACTACCAGTCATTAATTTTCAGTGGCAGCTTTTGCATTAAATAGTAGTGACTTATCAAGTCGACATGAAATAATTAAGCTAATTTAATTGTATGCTTTAGATATCACTATACTGTAGCATTTCTCTAGGGAAGGAAAGTAAATTTCATCCATTTAAGGAGAGGTCAAAGGAGTTTTATTTTGACAATAACTGGCCAATAACTTGGCGAAGTACATAGTGCAAAAGTTTTAAGATTTGGGTTCAAATAAAGGGTGATGTTATATTTTGTACTGTTTGTGTTCACAACTATGGTTGGCTTAAAACTGATTGAAATACAGATTGCTATAGTTTAGGTATACAGTATTCGTCCTTCCAGTGTATGTGTAGTCAACTTGGAATATGTTTGTTTTAAATGGCCTTGCTAGATTGTTTAGCAAATATGAAAAGACACATTTTTACTCAGTTTAGCTTCTATATGAGATAATACTATGAATGAAAATAACATTTGATTTGTAGATTCACATAGATCTTAACTGAATATTGTCTAAGATTTCAATACTTCAAACTATTAATTTTTTGTAATTAGTAGTTATACAAGGTTATGCTTAGGTTTTTATTTTCCATGTTAGAATAAATGACTTTTCTTACCAGTGAAGATAATTTTATGCTAATTTTACCGGTGCCAACTAAAAGAGACAAAAGAGCATAATTAAATGAGACTCTCATAAGTTTGATAATCATTTCTCTTATATCAACTTAGGATACTAATGATTTATTGGTATGGTGCTGAAGTATGAATTTTTAGTTAATAAGATGCAGTCTTGTTTTCTTTGGTGATAAAGAATAGATGGAAAATCTTATACCTTTGTTCAACTTTAAACTTCTTTAAGCTTCTAAGATCTTGTTTTATCATCTGCCAAGGCCACTAAGATTCTTTGAAATAGTTCTTAGAGTAAGAAGACCAAAGCATTATTTGATGCTGTTCTGTAGCACTTTCTGATTCTGCAGAAAACGCATTTTCAAGACTCCAAAGACATTCTAAAGGTACAGAGAGTACCACATAAAGCTTTATTTTCAGTGCAGGGAAAAGTGGTTTCTGAAATGGAAGAAGGCAAATTATAGAGTAAGCTTTTAAATCTCCTCACATAGAAGTCTAGTTTAGCTCCTTTTATTCTCCAGATCTCTCTCCCACCTGCACTTTGAGCTTCTGCAGAAGCAGTAATGGAGAACTGGTAGTTGGCCTTTGGATCAAAGCTGTGCAGGATATTTGGGTGAACCTTGGAACAGAATCTTTTGCCAGGGAGACTTCTCTTTCTGTGCAAAATTAAGTTTTATTTGTGCCTCCAGACACTTGAGCTGATCACCTGGGCCCAGGCATATACCATTTTAAGTAATAGCAATTAAAGCTTTAATTATTGAGAAGTTATCAAGTGTCTTAGTTTCATTTAGTGCTAGCAGGAAAGCAGCTGATATCTAAGTAAGCCTGACTCTCTCTGTTTTACCCCATTAATAGTATTCTTGGCCTGTTTAAGGATGGAAAAATATCTTGAGAGGTGTTGGCATTAACAATTAGATTTTGAATTCAGTTCACTATAATTGATTCCCATGTTCTCATATCCACATGGACAAACATTTATTTTCCAAATGGTTTTAATTTTATCATTTTAGCAAAAGAAGTATCTTATTGACAAAGGTTGAAATTATTAAATAAAATGGAGAAGACACTCTGTTGTGACCTTGTGAGTTTCTCAGTTTATAAAAAAATGTATATGACTCTGAATTTGTTGCTAACAGGTAATTAAAATGTATTGCTGTTTTAGGAAGTAATGACAGTGACCATGTTGTCACCAGAAGAAAAGTAGAACGAGGAGTATAGATTCTCTTTTCAACCATAGCTTTCTTTTTTCTCCTTCAAATGAAGGGGCTTTCTTTCAGCACCCTTAATGTGATACTGTGTTTCTAGCAGCATAGCTCTAGGCTATTTTAAATAATACATTTCTCTAACAAGCTGGGAAAGTCACATAGGAGAAAGATAGTTGGCTTCTAAAATTTTCCATTGTCAGAATGGGAGAGGCGTTTTGGTTCACAAAGGTACCTTTATACATCAAGAAGTTTTCATAAGTGGGGTTTTGCCAGCTGGTTTATGAATTTAGTAATTACTTCCTCAGCATCTTCCTGTGTCTCCCGTGCCCACTGAATGATTATACTGCTCAGGAAGAGGTTATGCATGTGGGTTAGTGCTTGCTTTAGAACCAGCAACAGCACTGCTTGAGGAACCATTCGTTCAGTGAACAAATTACTGAAATCCTGTTATTTAATCTGTACAAACCTCCCTGCACTCCCTGCTACTCTCTTAGTCCCAAATCACCATCACAGTTTCCATGATAGACTGTTCCAGCTTTCCATTGTCCTCCCCAGCTTTCTCTTGTTCGAGTGTGGTATCAACACCACAGCTAGAGTGATCTTTCTAAACAGCAGCTGGAATTCTCACTGAATTTACAATAAACTCACAAATTCTTATTACTCCTATGTGCTCTGCTCTCTCCTCTCTCCCTGCTCTTCTCATACCACTCTGTCCTGAGCTCAGGATTCGTCTGGCCATGTAGCTTTTTCCCTTCCTCACATGCAAGGTGAAGTCTCTTCTTAGAGTCCAGTGCACAGGTGGTTTCTGTCTCCATCTATTTGCCTAGCTAACTCCTACTCTACAGGGTCTCTTCTTTCAAAGGGCCCTTTTTTTAACCCTTCTCTCCCACTAGCTAAGTGATATTCATCTCTTACATCCTTCCTAGCATCCTGTTCCTTTTCTTCATTACATCTCTAAAAGTTTATTTATGTATTTATTGATCATGTGTCTTCTTTTCTGGTAGACTGTGAGTTCCATGACTTAGCGTGATACTCCAGCATCTAACACATGCTTGCCATATAACAGCCTCTGAAATATGGATGGTTGAACAATGGGTGGACTAACAAACAGTAATATCCCTGTCATCATATAGTTTATTTTGAGGATGAAAGACCAATCTATATTTTGATAAATGTTATAATGACATAAGAGTGATATCTGTGGGGACCATGTGAAGTATTAGGTACAGAAAAGAGTGGATGGATCTGCAGTCAAATTCTGCTTTGCTTTTGTGGAATGAGTACATTACTTAACTTACCTCACCTGTAGGATGACAGTACTAATATCTCACAGGTGTGTCATAAATACTAAATGAGAAAATTAACATGAAGTAATAATAACTAACATTTACAATATAGCTAAGCATCAGATTATCCTAAACACTTTATTTTAGCTCAGTCCTCAGAATAAGGATCGTCTGGTGATCATAATTACTACCTCCGTTTTTATCGCCAAGGAAACTGAAGTCCAGAAAGGTTAAGGAATTTGCCCAAGTTTACAAATGTACTAGCTCTTAGAGTTAGGATTGAAATATGTAGTCTGCACTTAGAACCTATGCTGTGTATCACCATGCCATGCTGCCTTACTTGTAGATATTTTTTTGACTGTACAGACATATACAGGTAGTAAATATAGGGTAACTATTTCTTTTGCATTTAGTACAAGATGAAAGTTCTAAGCCTTCTCTATCTTCTTCAGGGGCTTCTTATAATACAGTTTTATTACTGGAGTTCCAGGAAGAAGAGTGTTTCATGCTGAGGTAGTTTTTTTCCTTATTCTTTTAAGAGAGAAATTCCTGAGAGTTATAAAAGAATTTAGCTTGTTTTAGTATACTTTGGATCTTATATGTGATAATATTCGTATTAGACATTTTAAATGAAAACTAAGAAACAACTTCACCTCTCTATTGATTCTTTACTTTGGTCATATGTAGGCCTCTTTTTCTATAACATCTAAAAATGATATTATTCAAAATCTTGCTCCTCTGGGTGGTGAGATGGCTTCAGAACTTCCTGAGCTGACCAGTAGTTACCCAGACATACTACATTTTGCACACAAAGCCAGAAATGTTTCCTGTACTGACATATGAAGAAGTAACAGAATCTTGTGTATTTCATTGTTAAGCTATCAACCCACAAGACTCCCTCGCTTTTTATAGAAATCATTTTAACTTGCTTATTTTGTAGTATTAGTTGCAGTTTTCTTTTCCAAAGTGTTTTAGTTCAGCTGTATCTATTTGACTTGAGGGTAAAAATTGAATAAACAACACATTTTTCAAAATTCTTTCATTTTTCTGATATCTTCCAACCTGCATCATCAAGGCAGTGGGAAGCCAGTAGGCCCTCTGTGTGTGTTTGGTAGGTGTTTCAGAGCCTGGGGGCAGACATCTGGTGCACAGGAGGAGTACCCTGAACCTGTGAGCTTGGAAAAGAGCCCACTGTGTCTTGAAATAGAGATCCATTTTTCTATATTTGATGCTGCCGATCACATTAAATGATTTTGGAATATTACATGTTTGGGGGATAGGACTTGCATTCATTTTACTGACTACTGTTGAAGTGCATTAGTTCCTTTCTCTATCCCAAATTGGTCATTATCTTGATGAATTATGAGAGGCATTTTGTACTGCTATGCCTCCGGTGAACTGACATTATTTTTCCCATTTTCACTCAGCCCAGCCAGTGCTTTTTCAATATATGGGTTGCAAACACTATGAAAACCCAAGTGGCAGACATGATGTGCTGTTTATGGAAGCTGGGATTCATAGCCTATGGCTCCTAGAGAATGTTACTGCTAGAAGGTTTCAGGTGTGGAGCCCTTAGCTGTTTGTAGTACTGCTTGTGTCTGGAATCTGATGAAAGGTACGAGGCAAGCATTAAATTCCTTAAAAAAGAGAGCTATCCCTAAAAGTATACTTAGTCCTTACAAATTTTAACAGATCCTTTGTGATCTCTGCATTACAGTAGCCTGAATTTGAAATTGTACTTGAAATGGAGTTTTCATGATTTGAACCTGGAATTCTATCTAGAATTTATGCTGCCCAGTCCAAAGATT